GCGACGACGACGATGACGACGACGACGACGACGACGACGACGACGACGACGACGACGACGATGATGTTGGTGGTGGTGGTGGTGGAGGTGGTGGTGGTGTTGCTGCTGCTGCTGCTGCTGCTGGCTGCTGCTACTGCTGCTGTTCCTGCTGCTGTTCCTGCCGCCGCCGACTCGCGATCGCTGTAATGCTATACGGCGGTGGTAGTGCCGGTGGGTATCGGTGGTAGTAGTACAAGAGTAGCAGTAGTGTTGGTGGTGGGGTGGTAGTGGTGGTGGTAGTGGTGGTGGTTGCCCCTCAGTGTCCGGCGCGCCTCCGACAAGCGTGCTTCGGAGAAGTCGTTACGAGAGGATTTTCTCAAACGCGCTCCCAGCGTTCTCGCACCGCGGATGACATCGGCTAACTTCCTGTCGTCGTCGTCGTCGTGTAACAGAGAGACGGCCCAGTCCGACGATCGGGATAACAATAGCGAGCGGGCGGCAGACGGAAGAAACGAGGGGCGGAAGAAGGCGCTTATTAGGAAAGTGGAAATTATCGAGACCGGATCATCAGGATCGGATCGTGAATGGGTTTACGTGGTTCCGTCGGCGTGTCGTTGTCGCACGAGGGAAAATGCGATTAGCTTCTCCGTTCGTCGGTCCGCGTTCGTCGGTCGTCACGGAATTCGCGGAGGAGCGTTCGCGCGGATCGTTCGCGCGGGTCAGAACGGACCCGCGAGGAGGTTTGCCGCATGCGGCAGGCAGGCACGAGTCCTGCTAACCGGCGAGCCGCAGGATTCTGCGAGCGCGTAGTACGCGGGCGGGGTAGTAGTGGAAGACGACCTCTCCTTCCCCGTGCGTCGTCATTCGACGGTGGGCGATATCCGAAGATACACGGGAGAAGATACACCGTATTTCCCCGTGGAGCGCGTGGAGTCTCGGGTCTCGTGGGTGGAGTGCCCGGTGGAGTTGTAGTATAACAATCTCGGCCACGCGGAGCCGCGCCAGACTTTTAAATGGTGCATTATTATCCCGGGGATCTTAGCCGTAGTAAAGAGTTAGGTATACATAGAAAGTGTCCGAGGAAATCGAGAAGACCCTAGTCGATAGCGAGCGACGTCGCTGCTTCGTTCGTTCCGAGGAGCCGGCGTGACAGAACGAAGGGAAGAAAGAGAGAGAGAGAGAGAGAAAGAGAGAAAACAGGAGCGAGAAAGAGAGAGATAAAGTAAAAGAGAGAGAGAGAGAGAGAGAGAGAGCGAGAAAGAGAGGAAAAAGGGGTTAGAGTAGCGAAGTGAAGCGTGCACACACAGTCAAGTTCAACGACCCGCTCGGATTAGTTCGCGCGAACGAGCGGAAGGTCGGCTCAAGGACGGTGTACCGAGAAGGAGTCACCGGAAAGAGAGAAGATCGCGCGAGATAGAATAACGCGACTATATATATATATATATACATATATATATATATATATATATATATGTATATTTGTAAATGCGAGAAAAAGCGTTTATAGGTGAACGTGAGAACGCGGAAGAAAAGCGAATGGCCGAAACTACGAGCTGCGTGAACCGTTCGGTTACGGCGATCCATCGCTTGGACGAGGTCGAGTCACCGGCAATCGGTAGTTGGTGATGGGGGATTTAGACGAGGATGCCTTCTCCCTGTCTTCTTTGTCGCCATCATCACCGTCGTCGTTGTCACCGCTACGCGCCGTCATCCCCTACGTCGAGCCTTCGAGTCGCGCCGCCGTTGTCGTTGTTCCGCGTCGTCCCGCCGTCTTCAGTAATCGTCACCGTTGTCCCGGCAGGTGCAAAAGAATCGTCACCCACACAGAAAGCTTCCCGCTCTTCGGCGTCGGCGATAGCGACGTCAGCGTCGTCGTCGTCGACGACGCATTTGAGGAGCCTAACGAAAGGAGGAAGGGGAAGGTTAGCGCGGCAGGTGGTACACTTCTTCGCGTATCACCGGTATCGGATCGGGAGCTACAGACAAGAAGAGAGCACTGTAGCGAGAGAAGGAGGAGAAGGAGGAGGAGGCGGTGGTGGTGGGGGCGAACGAGGTGACTCGCCGTCGAGATGCACCAGGTGCCGTACAGAACGGGACGCAGCATCACGAGCGAAGGTCGAAACGACAAGAGTCTCCGGGTGCTCCAGGAGCAGCAGCAGGAGCAAACGCAACGGTTGCGACCGCGCCGGCAACAACCTAGTAGATTTCGCGATCGTGCCTCCCGTGTCCCTCGTGTCCGCGCTCACGCTCGCGTTTGCGCGCGCGCTCGAACGCGCCGATTGTCGTCGTCGTCGTTTCTATCCACGACGAACTACGGATCCGGTGAACGCACGACGACAATAACAACGACGATTATTACGACGCAGCGGCGGTCACGCCGGCACAACGCCGGGCCCGACGCGGACCACCCCCGCAGGTCCTCGTCGTTGCACTGCCTGGGCCCGGTGCAACGTACCCTTTACGGCGGCGCCCCGCCGCTGCTACCGTCCAATTTGCTGCTTATAGGACTGGCGCTCTGCTGCCTGGCACTGCCAGCGGTGCAGCCGCGTCTCAGCAATCATCATCAGACGTGTCCGGGTTGTCCGCATCAGCAACCGCAACACCACCATCATCATCACGCGCAACACGAAGGTCCGGCGCGCGGCGGCAACTTCAAGGACACCGCGCCGACCGAGGACTCTACCAACAATCTTCAGAACAAGATCCGGTTGGAAGCGATCAAGCTTCAGATCTTGCAGAAGCTCGGTCTCAGAGCTCGCCCGGACATCAACAGGACTCTGGCCGCCGTGCCTCTTCAACTGGCGCTTGAAACACTTTACCGGTCAAAGGTCAACTTGGATCGGGAATATCAGGGCGAGTTTCTCTACGAACGCGACGAGTATTTGTACAGGAATCTCGACCAGGAGGCGACCACCACCGAGGACAACGCCAGAACCTATCAGGGGTACAAGGGGTACAACGAGGACGAGCTCGACGACTTCTACGCGAGAACCTCGGAGATCATCACTTTTGCCGAACCTGGTAAGTCCTCCGTAAGCTAGGTACCGATCTTGTAAACTCTTGCCCACATACTTGCGACGACGTTTAACGATTTACGTGTTGTCTTTACGACGCAATAATAACCAAGGGCAGTAAAAAAAAAAACATTGCCTGTAATGTAAAACCATTTGAAACCTTTACATCTCTCGTGTTGGTATTCGATTTCACCGATCTCAAATGCTTGCTTTCTCCTTTCGTGTGTATTTCCCGATTTCGTCACCGATCGCAAAAATTTAACGAGGAAAGTCGAGGAGAGAAACGCGTCGTTTTCCGCGCGAAATCGATATCCAGTCGATATCGAACAATCGAGATCTAAGAAATCGACGCGTATGCCCTTGCGGCGATTTCTTTTCGTGTTGCGCGCGCGAACGTGAAATCTTCGCTGGCGTGTAAAGCTTCGCTCTTCCAGGGAGACTAAACTTTCCAAACGCGATCGCGACGATGTCTCGATTCGTCTCGAGACGCGCGAAGAAATCGTTGCGAAAAAATTGCGAAGATTTCTGCGAAGCAGAAACGACGATCAGGGACACCTTGATGTGCGGCAACGCGCACCCGTTTATTAAGTTTGCTAAGTGACGGGTTTTTCCTAGCAAAATATTCCGTCCGCGGAGAAAGATTATTGCGGGTCCGATAAAGGAACGTCACACCCCCCGCACATCTATGGACGCAAAGCAATCTATTGTGCGGCAGTTATATAGTCGCGATCAAATCATTTATGTTACCCGATCGGCCCGGCTATTATAATTAATTGCGTCGCATCGGCGTCTCATTGTAAAATTTAAACAACACGCGCGTGACGTTTTGAGAGATTTAAACAAAGTCGCTGCTTGAAAAAATATTTGTTTTTTTTTAAAACGTCGGCAATTTTTATAACATTTCACGCGCAAAGATCATCACTATCGTGCGGGGGAAACGCTCGATCCGACGTACGGATCGATAATAATTCAAAGATACGCGCGGCGAGGTTAGGGGGGTTGGGGAG